TTTTTTTAAGAATTTTAGCTTTTAAAGTTTTAGCTTTTTCACTTGTAAACTGAGGATGACCATATTCATGTGCTATGACACTGATGTGGAGAGAACCTGAAAAAGTGTACACAAGAGCTACAGCTAGGTGAGATTGTTGGTGCAGGTTTGGGGAATTGACAACTTTTGATCATTGAGAACTTCTGATTGTATGGTGGCTGGTTCACACCCAAACTTCTCTACAAAGATGTCTTGAGTGAAGATACCTGGGAAGTATGAGGGCAGAATGCAAAATGTGAAATTTATTAAGCTTTCAAGTCTATCTTAAACACCTAGGCATCCTTTTGCATTTTATTCAGTAAGGTAACTACATTGCTTTATTATCAGAATCATTTTACCTCAAATTTTGAAATCTGATGATCTAGTGTCACCTTCACACTGGCTTTTGCCTAGACCCTGGGACATTGTGTGGCATGGGAACGGCCTTCCTGGTGCCCGGGGGAGAAAGATCAGACAACACAGGTGCACAGACTGCTTTCGAATGCCACTGTGCCAGCGTAGCGGAGCTGCAGCTCTCCGACCACCCCTCATCCCAAATAGAAACATATTCAAAGAAGGTTCTTGTTTATGGATTATCTTCACTATTTTTAACTCATTTGGCTAAAGAGTGAGAAACAATGGAATGAGGGGTGAGTAGAGGATGGAAAGAATAAATTTCTATTTTTTGCTGAAAAACATTAAGCAAGCTATTAAATAGTAAAGCACATGTTACTCTGTGTTGCTCTCTGCCCATCTTTGTTGTGGAGCTCACAGAGAAAATACCACAATAGCTTCAGCATTAGGAGATTTGCTCTAGAAACTATGGTGTATACTCAGTGAAGGTTGAATCTCATCCTAAGAGTCTTGGGGAATTTGTGGGTAAATTTGCACATTCAGTAATAAGGTTGATAAAAATATGCCTTGGAGGCCAGGTGGAAAACTAAGTTACTTGCTTGGGGTAGGTAATATTTCTTACAAATAAAAATCCATGATAAACAACAACTATGGTTTGCACTGGCTCTCAACTTTGCGCCATTCTGATAGGTTAGATCATTATTTAACTTGAAGTAAAAACTCCATAGATTTCTCTGATCACAGCAGCCCTTTTAACTCTCGTGAACTGGTTCAAGGCGAGGAAACTGAAGGGGTAGGTGCTTGGCAACATCTCATCCTGGACAAAAAGACTAGAGAAAAGGATGGGAGAGAAGGAGAAAGATAGATAGGTAGATGATGATAGATAGATAGATGATCGATAGATAGATTGATAGATGATAGATAAACAGAGAGATGAGACAGAGAGACAGACTGAAGGTAAACACTGTGATGGGCTATTTATAGTATAAGAGGGAAGTTATCTTCTACTGCCTGTTGAAATTTGATTCAGTAACATCATTCGCTTCTGGGGCCCATGAACTGACCTTTCTTAATCCACAGCCTATCATCCAATTCAATAATTTGACTGTGTCATGGACATGCAGCAGTTAAATCCCCACCGTCCTGCTTAGTGAGAATTTTCCTCTTTAGTTGGGCCTTGCTTCCTGCTGAAAGTCTGTCCTGGGAAAGAGATGTGGTCCTTGTCTGTGCCACGTCAGAGTTGTCACTGATGAGGAATGCTGAGGTCATGCAACACTTCTTTATGCTTCCTGGGGCTGCCTCATTGTTCAAACTGATGCTTCTGGATGACACAGATAGCTCAGAACAGGCTCTTTCCCTCTGGGGGTGCTCTATAAGGTGCTCAGAGGCCCCTCACCTCTGCCTCCTCTTTTCCTAGTCAGTTCCCTTGGCCCAGCACTATGGGTTTGACCAGCTGGCCCCTGAGGACTCTTTCATAGAAGCCAGGCACTTTTGGACTCTTGTCAGTAGGGCTACACTCTTCTCAGGCATCCCCGTTGTACAGAGCCCAAGATGACGCCATCCCAACTCTTTTCCAAGTGGCCCCCACTGAGTTCATGGGACACACTCATATAACTATTTGTCGAAGATCTCTGCCACCTAAACACACCTTCTCCAGATCTCAGTCTACAGTTTTCTTTCCCTTCTCCTGCATTAGTCGGGCGCCTGTTCCCCTCTGCACCTCTCACCTGCCAGGACCACATTTCATAGTTCCCTGAGTGGTCCTCCTGAGTCTCCCTTAATATTAAAGTGTCTTATAATTAGGTGTAAGAATTGAACTCCTACAAAAGAGAATGGGGAACTACCTCAGTAATCTCGTCTCAGAATCCTGACTCTAATATATTCTTAATCTGGTGGGTTTATTTTCATTCTGCTTGTACATTCCGCACACTGTGGGAGCAGAATCTACCACCATCCACATTTTCTTGCTAACTCAGTTTTCACTGCATTAGGAAAAATCCTTATCTTTGTCATAAATAAATCCGGCTTAATTCAATTAGGAAAAATAAGCAAACTCTCCATAACAGATAAAACTAAAAAGGAAAAAAAGTACACACATGTTGCCCCAAATAAGCCAGTACCACATATTTAACTTCTCTGGGCAGCACTTA